GTTTAAATGTTAGTATTAAAAAAATCTCTTTACTGGTAAAGTATTCCTAACAACTTTAGACATCTCCCCTGTGGTATTTTTTTGTTTACAAAGTAGGACTAGTTTCTTTTTTGTTACTCTGTGCTGTTGGCTAACTTCCCATCCTTTTAGGCAGACTGTTTCTCGAGCTGTGCTGCTCTTCAGGGAAATGAGCTGCAAGGTGTGCTTATGTGCATGACGATTTTTTTCAATCCCTGGGAAAATATTGCTTTTGTTATTCTTACAGCTGTGTTGTCTTTTGTTTGTTGCTAAAGAAAAGTACAGGATTGCTAACATATTACTGCAGAACTGGTAAACTCTGGATATGCACAATCAAAACTACTGTTTGTCATCTGTAGATTTCAGCTGATTGAAAAATAAAGAGAACAAATGTACTGAAATACTCTGTTACACCTAGAGTATCTAGGTAACGTACAGTATTATGAGTCCACAGAACAGCAAGGCAGGCATGAGATGTGAAACTGAAGATATAAGAGGAGCTGTCTGGGCATTGAAGGAAACGTAAGTCCCAGCCCCCTCCAAATACAGCCATTAGTTAAAGGCAGAGTGGACCTTGAACTGATACCTAGAATATAAAATATCTTCTTTAACTCCTACCTTGGGTTGCATATTAAACACTTGGTGCTAGGAAGCTGTAGTCTGTAAATAGAACCATTCCTGAGGGACATCTCTTCCCTGTTCTATTTTAGGTAACTTCTGCCTTCATAACTCAGCAATCAGTTCCTCTCTGATCTCTAGATTTCTTGTATGTGTGATCACCACATGGAGACATACACTCAAATAGCAGGTCATGTTCTGAGCAAGTTCCATTGATTTCTGCATCACACTGGGCTACTAACATGTTGCTTCTTGGAATCACTGACAAGAATTCAGTGAAAGCCAGAATGCAGATGTTAAGCTGATGGCCTCAGAATTTACTGCTGGTGCTGGTACCTCACAGAGAAATACACACTGCACATCAGAAATTTTGGGTTTTAAGGGGGAGGAGTGTGTCTTCTCTAAGTACACTTCACTTACATATTCTGTGGCATTGGCCTTATACTCCTTTGGCACAAAACTGAAAATACTGTGTATGTCACTTGCTCTGTTAGCCAACATGATCAGTCCAAATGTGTTTAATTATCATCCTTGCTTATGCATAATACTAATTCTGTCAGTAAAGGTGACTAGATATGCCAAATAACTTGTGATTATGAAGGGATTCATTCAGAAATGCTTCAGCTATATCTTCCTTTACTGAAGACAAAATGGGTGAAGATGTTTGTTTACCACCAGCTACTTTTTATGTTTAGACTCATAATGTTCTAGGTGGACATGTAAGATTTAGATGCTGTTGCAACTAAGCTAAGCATGAGTATTGATTTACTAGGAGCTTAGTTTATTAAAGAAAATGGCATCTTCTTGAGCTGTTTGAGCAGTGGACACTTGCTTCTTTTCTGGGTAGATGTTTTCCACTTTATTCCAGTAAAATTATTAGGACAGTGTTTGTTATTCTCATGTAAAGAAACAGATGAAAAGCTGGCTAATTTGCTTCATCTACTTCTTTATAAACTAATGGTTAAAGGAGTTAAGCATATTAAGATGTAAGGCAACATAATTTATGTTGATCTTTGCAGGTCTGTTTTCAATAAATAGAACTAATTTAAATATTTTTCTCTAAATTCCATAAAAATGGAAGCAGAGACAACTCAGGACTTCCCAATAACAGAATTAAAACTCATTCCAAAGTTGAGAGCCTTGGCTTAAGCTCTTTATAGTCCCATGAGCACAGGAAAGAGCTTTGGACAGCTTTTTCTGTGGAGGGCACCTGTTGCTTTTGCTGTTACTCTACTGAACGTTAGGCAGTGACAGCAGCAGCAACAGTTCTAAGGGCTTTCTAGTACTGTAGCTCAGCTACGGCAATAGTGTTGATATGGATGAAACTGTCTTTATTTGGTCTATTAAAGATGGATTTATAACTGGCACATTTCCTGTAAAACTCAATTTGTTACAATTTTTAATATTGATTTGATAATACAAATGGATATACTAGCAGTAATTAAGTGTAATGGGGCTTTAATATATCTTGAATATCTTCAAAGGAGGCTAGTGAATATTACATCTTAGGCCATTTAACAAATTGCTAAGGGGAATTCCCTATAAGATTACCGTAATTGGAGAAAGTAAGGGGAAATTTTTGAGCTTTTACTGGTGAAGAATGATAAAAATGTTAAACAGTTGTTACCATGTCTTTAGTTGACATAAACTACATACATTTTTTTTTATTTTTTTTTCATCATCACATGTTTGTTAATTGTGTAAATGCGTAACAGTATGATAGACTCAATTTTCCTGGGACCTTAAATTTTCAATTAATATAACCTTATAGCTGCTTCTTTCTGATACTCTGTAAAATGGATTTGAGTATATCAGTAACATCAGTACTTCTCTCTTAAAAGTGGTTTAAAAATAGTTAAGGCTACCTTACGTTTCAGGAAAATGAGTATACCTATTTCTGATATTACATTATAATTAGTATTAAATTTTTCTGTATTATGTAGCCATCTTAATAGTGTACTATTCGTTGTTTTATTATGCAAAGGAATGCTTTTTAACTTTGATTTCAGAGATGTTTTGTTCTCCTAAAAAAGATCTGGCCTATAAGATAAAGTGTTTGACACCATTTGTTTATATAGGATACTAGTACACAGTTCAACATGAGGCTGACTCTGAAGCTAAAAGACTTTAAAATAAAGTTCAGAACTAAGTGTATAAAATATTTTAAATATTAATCTTTAAACCCAAAATAAAACCACTTTAATTTTTTTCCCATAAACAACAATCATTCCACTTTCGGTCTGTGGTATTTCCAGTGACCACCCTTCATGCTGTCAGTCAACAAGAGGAACTAAATAGTATCACAGATTTTAGGATCCCTAGTGATACAAACAGGAATGACATT